CAGTCACGCATGCGTCAGCAACTTCACGTGACTTCCGCTGTCGTAACACTATTATGCCTCTACCCCTGTGGCCCAGCGTGAGGGCTGAAGGTTTGTAGCTCTATAACAATACCCGTGGTAGTTACAACAGAGGTAGCCCATCATGTAGTTTTGCGCGTAACAACAAACAAACAAAATAAAACTATTATCTAAATTTTAAAGTTATGAATTTTGTTACTAAATGCTGTTTGTCAGTTGTCGCAACCCATCTATGAAATTTTGCGTTGATTTAAGTGTGAGAAATTGTTGCCTGATTATTTTGATGTTGATTTTCTCACTGTTGCCTTACAATTTCAATGTCGATTTAAGTGTGAGAAATTGTTGCCTAACAATTTCAATGTTAATTTAAGTGTGAGAAATTGTTGTCATACAATTTCGATGTTGATTTAAGGGTAAGAAATTGTTGCCTTACAATTTCGCGTTGATTTAAGTGTGAGAAATTATTGCCTAATAATTTCGATGTTGATTTAAGTGTGAAAAAGTGTTGCTTTACATTTTCGCGTTGATTTAAGTGTGGGAAATTGTTGCCTTACAATTTCGATGTTGATTTCAAACGAAAGAGAAATTATTAACAATACTTTGAAATATCAAGAAATACCTTTATAATATTATATTCGTTATCAAATTTGACATCTGCGACTTTACAGAATACACATTAGTTTTACTTCTTGTAGTAAAGGTTTACTGGAATAAAATAAAAACGAGTCTATGCCCAGTGTCTGATTAATCAATAATGAGCCCCAGTGACACAGCAGTATGTCTGCGGACATACAACGCTAGAAAATGGGTTTCGATACCTGTGGTGGGAAGAGCACAGATAGCCCTTTGTGTAGCTTGGTGATTAACTACAAACAAGAAGTAAACCTATATGAAAATTAACACGATTAAGCTGGCCAGAAATTCCATATGGAATCTTTCCAACGCACAGTGCATTGCACTAGGCCTGCACGTTCTTGATTAAATTTTTCATTAAAAATAATGATAAAATGCATTTTAAGCAAAATAATAAAACTTAATAACAATATATATAAATTGTACAAACTATAAAAAATTATAATTTTTAAAACTTCTATATTTGAATTTTGCCAAATTCAGTTCAAGTATAAAACACGATTAAAACCGAAGCTTTTATGGGCGTAGCTTTGCGCGAAATTCAACAAACAAGCAAAATTTTATGACTAAAAATAATCTCGAGGGTCATTATTATATATATATATATATATATTATATTATTCTTCTTTTCTCTCTGTAAAGCATATAATACTCCTATTTACTGTATATCTATAAACCTCGTGACTTATTCAATGATGACTATCTCGCTTGTGCAGACTATGCACGTAACGCTTCACAATAACCACGTGACTTTTTGGACGATGCTTATCTGACTTACACATGTTATAAATTAAGTTTCGCTTATCGGATATCCTATCGCGCGTGTAGAGAAGTATCCACGATTGCCTATGCTAATAACTAGTATCTTTAGCTCACTATCCTTTTTCTTTTTCTTAAGTGGGCTTAAGTGGTGATATGTGTTTACCAGATAACCTTGTTATCCCACTTAATGTTATAGACTAAGGTACATATTTTTATCAACTTAAATCTGAGAACGACTGATTGTCCAGCATGACTTTAAATCATACCAACACGTTGTACAGCTGTATATAGAACGGATTAAAGTTGTCCTTGTTTCAGTCCTTCCGGATTTTAGCTCTGCAATCAACAAACTCTACTGCTATACATACTTCTCAGAACATGTTTTAACGTGATATTGTAATAAAAAATACTTTAAAATCCCGGGGTTCGATTACTCACAGTGGAAAGAACGCAGATTGACCATTGTAGCTTTGCGCTAAAAACAAAAATAACAATAAAATACTTTTTCTGATTATTCACTTTTGCAACGAATGCACCTAGAAGAAGCTAATATGATAATAGGATTTAATATGTTATCATTAAAAAAAAATCTTAATGTGTCATAATCGCTTTTAGAATTCAGCCCATGCTTAAGAGATACCTAAACTGGATTTAAAAAGAAAAAAAGCTAAGTATAGTAATTACCTAACATTAAACCCATTGGGCCTCACACATTAGTTTAATAACCACAATTTTCTGTGTTACGAAATGAATTACCTCTAGAGAAGATAATGAATTAAATTACCAGATGTTTGGATTAAGATAATAACAACGTAGAAGGCTGTTACTATATGTAGTAGTTTTTTGCTGTGTTTACGCATTCTCTTTGTTCAACTGATCTTGTAATCATGCGTTATCAATCCCGACGGATGTTTTGAGATTTGATGACAAATATCTTTATAATTGCACAATCGATTATAGCATAATCTGAAGAAGGACGACACTGGTAGGTGTAAGGAAATTAAGCCGCAGGTACATATGCGTATCGCAAGGTTTGGTGCAAAATTACATAGAAACTTTAAGTAACTTTTTAGATGTACTTTTTTGGCGTATGTGCTCGTTTTTCTTTCCGATGAACCTCAGCGATACAAGTCCTTTCTTAATTAAAACTAGTTTAATCTTTCTCGATACAACTTTGTAATGCACAGAATTTCCACAGTCACTTTGAACTTAACAAACATTATAACACACGCTACAAATGGCAGTGATTCACACACTTTTCTTACGGTGCCTACTGTTCGCTTGACTCAATTATCTATCTCTTCAATCTATCTATATCTCTTCTATTTATCTGCCTATCGTGCTGGTTTTACTCGCCAGGCTTATATATTAAAAAAGAGGGCTTTCATGATCCTTCTAGAAACTCATCACATGTTACCAGCGTCACGTGACTTCCGCTGTCGTAACATACTCTTAAATTGTCTTTCAAGTGGCGATCTTCAGAGATGTGCTTTCATGGTCAGCGGAATTTAATTTCACACAAAAAGAAAAGGCAAATTTTGAAAAATCTAGCAGAGGAATTAGACACAGATGCTAATTACTTTAATCGCAGAGCTACACAATGGGCTGTTTGCGCCCTGTCCGTCGCGGGAAATCGACTAGTGTTTTAGCGTTGCATGTCCGTAAACTTACCGCTGGCCCACTGCAGTTGATAATGGATATTAAAAAAAAACGGATAACGGTCTCTGAATATCTCAACTAATTATACAATAAAGGAAGGACATAAGAGAGAGAAAACAAAGGATAAGATACAACATAAAAATGTCTAAGATAAACATATAAGCACTGTAACTAAGTAATCATAAAGACAGTGAAATATGTAAACAAATACTTATCGTTCAAATATAAGTTTCAAAAGTCTCTTAAATTTCTGACAAAACATTTTATGTGTGAGACATACGAAGATTTACTAAAGCTGTATCAACATGAATTTCTGTCTTCGTTATCAAAAGATTGAATTTGGAAAACAGTTTTAAACTTGTTCCCTTGACCTTATATCATCCAGCTACGTTACAATTACTTTAGTAAAGGAATGTCTTAATCCCAGCTAGGGATATTTTTGGACATGAAAAAATTAGGCTCAGGCTACCTAAGTATATAGATGTGAGTCTCATAGCTATTATCTAGGACTAGGTTGTAGCATTCATGTATTTATACAATTTGCGATTCGACTTTAAAATTTCTCATGCCGATTTTTAGGAATTAGGTGAAACATTTTCAAACTGGATGAACAGACAGGTAGGTGGAGACTAGGTACTGCTGTGTATATGTATGTAGGGGGATTACTTAGTATGTATGTATGTATGATATTCACATTTTCTAGACTAGTGTAGTTGAACATAAGAAAGTCTGAGCTTTAATTAAACAATTTTGAGTTACATGACACTTTACGATGTTGTTGTAATGATACACAATTCTTATAATGTAAAGGAAAAATTTAGGTTGTAATAATAATATTTAACTATCTAGTGGAAAAAGCTAAAAAATGATTTTGAAAGTGATTATCCTGTATCGATAAGCTATTGTGTAAACTAACTTCGTCTGAGGCGTACACATGAATTGTTTGCATTTTGTTGAATTTCGCGCAAAGCTGCTCGGGGGTACCTGCGTTAGCCGTCTCTAATTTAAAAGTGATAGATAAGATGGAAGGAAGCGAGTCAAAACCGCCCACCGCCAACTATTGGGCTACTCTTTTACGAATTAAAAATAAGTTGACCGTCACATTATAATGCCCCCACAGCAGAAAGGATGGACATGTTTGGTGACAGGATTCGAACCCGCGACCCGTAGACTGCGAGTTGAGTGCCTTAACCACCAAGTCATGCCATTCCATGTATACTTGAAACGAAGGTATGTTGCTTGTTTGAAACGTCATATTTGAAACATATATCATGTTTGGCGACTTATGGCCTCTTCTTCATTATACTTTTTGTCCCCCCCCCCCTCTGCAGTGGCTCCGCCGTAAGTCTGAAGGCTTATAATGATAAAAACCTGGTCTTGATACCCGTGACGGTCACAGCACAGTTAGCTCATTGTGTATCTTTGTGCCTAATAACAAACAAAGAACTAAACATATGTATTGCTCCCGGTGGTTCAGCGGTAAGTCTGTGGGCTTATAACGCTAAATACCAGGTTTCAATAATCGTAGTAGATACAGCACAGATAACTCATTGTGTAGCTTTGCGGTAAGCGATAAACAAACAAAAACCATATTTTTGTGTGATTTTTATAGCAGGTTTAAAGAAGGGTAATAATGATTACAACCATTCGTGTATATTTCGAAGTTTTTCTAATTAAAATTTCTCAGAATCAGAGAAGAAGCTATAAAACATGATGAAGAGGGGCGAATTTCGAGCCACTGTGTAAAATGATTCTTTCTTTAACGTTAAAAGAAGCCTTTAGATGTTCTTGAAAGGTTTCCACTTTTCTTTCAAGTCCAGTTTTGAGTCGCTTTAAGAATGGACAGATGATATTTCTAAGCATGTGTTGTTGTTTCAGGATATCTTGCTTTAACTTACTATAACATCATATTTTTTTTCCTATTACAGGCTCATATGGTAGCAGCATTTGAGCAGTCGTTGTCAAATATGACCAACCGACTTCATCATTTAACAGCGAGTGCTGAACAAAAGGTAATATGCACGTTTGTCATGTTTTGGCAGTCAGATTGTACTGTTAAAATGCTATCTAGATAAATATGCCTGATTATTATCTCTCCAGGCACAAAGTGCTGTGTGTGTGTGTCCGTCTATGTGTTCGCTTTTCACAAGTAAACTTTCTGATCGATCTCAACCAAACTTGACATATCATATGGGGATTAGAGTTCAGATCTGACCACCATGTGATTTTCAACCGGAGGAGGGGGAGCTCTGTTTGTATATCCGCCATTCGCGCTTATAGTTTTCTATCAATCTCAAGCAAACTTGGCAATCACTTTCTTTAGTATCAGGAGGTAGGGTTTCATATCTGACCGTCTGTGTCATTCTCCTGGGACCCCTATGTAAACCCGTGACATTCTATTGAGCTCCCAAATTTCAGAGGCATTTTTAGGATACCACGTAAAGTAACATGGGGGGTCGGGAGTGGCGTACGGATCTTCCCCTCATGTCACTCTTCGGAAGCCTTGTCTATCTGTATGTCCGCCTTTAACACCTTCACTTTTTAACCGATCTCAGCCAAACATAAAAGCACCCTTAATGGATCAGGTCCCGTATGTCTTCCCCATGCGTTGAATGAGTACAACAGCTAGTATATATTACATATACACACATATTAGCATTAATTACTATTAGCAGAGATCCGCAAAACATTTACGGTCAAATTAGTATCTTCACTGCAACAGTTCTTTCAATACATGATTTCTAGAATAATACAAAAGAACTCTAATCTCAAATACCGAAATCTATAAGTCCACTTGTCTTGCCAGCCAGTGGCACAGCGGTATGCCTGCGGACTTACAACGCTAGAAACCGGGTTTCGATACCCGTTGTTGTCAGAGCACAAATAGTACATTGTGTAGCTTTGTGCTTAATTACGAACAAACAAACAAATAAACCACTTGTCTTAGGCCTAACTTTAGTTAAACCTTTATTAAGTACGGCCTATATTCGATAAATAGATAAATTAACACTGTAACTTGTGTACGTGTTTTGCTTTAGTTTAATTACGACTAAACTTTACCATACTTAATACTATTAATAAATGAACTTATGTTATTCTACAACCTAAAGTTAGACCCTTTTAAAAACTTTGATAAACATTTAATATGTTGTCGTACAAAATGTCTACTAAAGTCTGTTTATATCTGCCTTTTGTTAACATCCGTTGGAATGAAGCTCACTAAAATACGCGCGCATTTTCAACAGACAAAACTGAGTGATATTATATGTAAAAATAGGATTGTGTGTGTGTGTGTATGACTGCGTAGCGGAACTGTATTGTGAACTCGGACTAATAGTGCGATCATTCATAAGTGAAGCTAGTGAAAATATACGAGTTTATATTACCCCATGAATTGGACATGGCACAAAAAGAGTATGTTAATTAAACTGCGGACAATGGACCAAAGTTAACATACTGTGAGTAATGCAACAACGTAAACAAGGGTTATTACCTAGGATTCAATAATAGTTCAAACAAAATAGCAATTCCTGAGAGGGAAGAAGAGGTCAACGCTGATTCTGTCCCTCCCAGGTCCAACAAATTCGGATCTAAAAAGTCGATACAGCAAATGATTATAATATATTCCATGTACATTTCACAGTCACATTTAGGTATTTTATACACGTTGATGTTGTCTTTCTTTATTTCTTATTTATAGGATTGTACAAAATTGTATTCCAAACACAATACAGAATTATCATGAAAAATATAATCAATATGCTTGTTAAGTAATGTCATAATTGAATCTAATTTTTCGTAATGTAACATGATAATCAGTTATAGTTTTCGGTACGCATATGAACTGGGACTCAGTTTTAACTTGTACATAGCATTTGTGGTGTCAGTTTAGATTCTTTGTTTGAGGTTAAGCACAAAACTACACATTGGGTTATCTGTGCTCTGCCCACCACAGGTATCGAAACCCGGATTCTAGCGTTGTAAGTCCGCAGACATACCGCTGTACTACTGGGGGGCATCAGTTTAGAAAAAGACCCCAGAGGTGCGCAGTGCACCAGGTCTTGAAATAAAATGTAGTGCATATTGAATGAACACTAATAGACTATTCAAGTAACAACCTACCTTTTTGTTAAGGATATTACGTTTTTCTATTTAATCAGGATGGGAAATTACATCACAGTTGAAGTTCAGTTCATTGTTACTGTTAATTTACTTTCAGTTTACTGTTGATTTTTATTTAGAAGTAATAGAATATAATAGAATATCTAGTATGCATTTCATGAACAAAGTGTTACGTATCTGCTTGTTTGTTTGTTTCCGGTAGCTGTCCTCCTGTTAAACTATCATGTAACTTTCTCGGTATAACTGTTTGCCAGGTCGTCACTTTCCCTTCTACGGACAAGAATACCATTTTCAAGCTTCAACTGGTCCCATTGTGCCCAATAGTTTTTTGTCACAGGGCTTAAGCTAGACATCTTATCCCAAGCAGGGTGCAAAACACTTGTTTTAGAAAATCAATTATTGGCTTCAAATCTTGGTATTTCTCCCGCTCTGATTTAATATCTATACCTGGTTCCATTTCACCATGATCAACTCCTTCAGTCACTTTGACTTCAGCTTGATAGCACCTGGTTAGTTCAACCTCTCTTTTGCAGCAATCTCTGCAGTCATTTTTCCAGGGTCTTCGGCTCAGTCCGTCGACATTTTCATGAGATTTTCCTTCTCTGTATTCAATATCATAATTATACTGGTCTAATTTTCCGATCCAACGTGCCAGTTGTCCCTCTGGGTTCTTTAATGATCTTAACCAGCATAATGCATCATGGTCTATCTTGATGGTAAACCTAGCTCCATAGAGGTAAGGATGGAAATATTTCAGACTCTTTACTATAGCAAGGAGTTCTCTTCGTGTTACACAGTAGTTCCTCTCTGGTCACCTCAGGACCCTACTGAAGTAGGCCACCACATGTTCGTTTTCGCACACTTTCTGAGACAACACTCCTCCAATTCCGACATTACTAGCATCACAATCCAGTATGTACAGCAGTGAGGGATCTGGAAGCTTTAAAAGTGGAGCTGAGGCCAATTTTTCTTTCAATGTCTTGAAAGCATGCTGGCAAGAAATGGTCCATTCAAACTTCTGGCCTTTTTTTTTTGTCAAATCATGTAGTGTCTGCTCACATTTAGAGAAATTAGCCACTGTTATTGGTACTACTTGATGACCTGCCACAAGTGACCTTCCAATCTTCACGTCTGCTGGCCTGGATGGGTCTTCCACTGCTTCCAGAAGCATCGAGCTTTCTTGGGGATGTTCTTTTATTCTACCCCAAATTATCTTCTCTGGCATAAGGGGTATTGTAGTTGACTTAAGTGCTGTAACGTGAAAATCAACAG